CACTGACTCCTTGCCTACTCTCACGTCACCTCCCACACACCCCTCCCGCCTCGCGGGCCCTCCCCTGTGCCCTCCGTCTCCCTGCTTCAAGCTCAGAGAAAGGAAGCCGGATTTAATTGCCATAGAGCCGAGAAAGTGACACCGTGCATTTCAAAGCCAGATTTCGGTGACAAAGGAGCATTTGTAGTGGGGGCTTGCCCACCTCTCTCTCCTCCCGCGCCAAATGGAATCACAGCGGGTGGTGAGCCCAGCAGGGTGGAGCAGATGGCGATGCCCCATTAGATGGCGATGCCCTCCTCACGGTTGGAGGGCAACTTTGGTCCGTCCTGTCTGAAATGGGCACAGCGGGTGCTGGAGGGGAACCACGTCGACAGCGGTCGTCCGGTCTGCCATTAGCGCCCCTCCCGCCTCTGTGAAGGATGCTCTGTGACCACGCTCAGGCCTCTGTGGCTCCCAGACAGGGCGGAGGCTTGGGCAGCTTCTTCCTTTATCTGCCCCCAGTGTGTTAGGGGTATGTGCACCTGCCAGAGAGAGAGAGCAGGAGGGCGACAAAGCCCTAGTGGGGCGTGGTCACCTGCAGTCCCTCCTCTACCTGTCCATCCTGCTGGGGTCGAGCCACCGGGGCTGGGACTGAAACCACGGCGCCGTGCGGGGGCTGGCTCCCTCCCCAGCGGGCTCCCCTCTCTGACCCGGCCTGCTTGCCCGCCTCCCCCCCGCAGAGACTGCCTCGCCCTCTGCTTCCTCAACAGCGGCACCAGCTTCGTGGCCGGCTTTGCCATCTTCTCCATCCTGGGCTTTATGTCTCAGGAGCAGGGGGTCCCCATCTCTGAGGTGGCCGAGTCAGGTAGGTGCTGGGGGTGCCCAAGGCCGGAGAGCCTGTCAGCCTGGCTGGCCCCTTGGCCACCAGGACCCAGAGGGGGCTGCTGCGGCCTGCGCTCCGGGCGAGCTTGGCCGCCTGTCGGTGGGTGTGCCTGGAAGACACGGGAGAGGGCTGTTCAGCGAGTCCTGCTTCCAGGGCGCGTGGTTTACAGCGGCCCTTTCCTCTGCCGCCCGCGGCCAGCTCCTCACCCTGGAGCCAGCCAGCGTTACTCGTTCCGTGTCTGTCTCCCTAGAAACAATTTAGGCACCATGAGAAAATGTGCACACACACATTCACCCGCACTGCTAGCTCTCTTCTGTTGCTTAAGACGCGTGACACCTAGAAATGCCGAGGCACAAGATGCGAATTTCCGCATCCCATCTTTAAAATGCTCATTTTGGAAAATGAAGGTGAATACCATCTTCTAGAATATTCAGCTTTTAGCTTGTTTTTTTCTTTTGGGCCAGTTCAAGCAGCTACTGTACCTAGCGGTCCCGTCTTCCTTCTCTAGTCGGGACACGTTGGCTGTTTTGACCCAGCGGTCACAAGTCCCCTCTGGGCACTGCTGCAATGCCAGCTCCAGAAGTCTCTGCCGAGTCTGAGCCCGCGGTTCCTCGGCAGTACCAGTTCTTCCTTTTTCCTGGCCCTCTTCATTGCCGGATTCGTTCGGTGCTGAAACATCGAAGTCCTCCTGCCTCTTTTCCCGACCTGCTCCTCTGGGTCCACCTTCATCACCCGGGCAAGCAGCAGGGGAACCGCTACCTCCTGTCCCCCGAGTCCTCAGGCTCCTCCTCCGCCGCCCCCTGCACCTTCCCCTGGGTGATGTCTCCGGCAGGATGGGGGCTGGCTCGGGGAGCCTGGACCTGAAGGCTCGTGCCTTGAGTTCTGAGAGTCTAACCATGTCAGGGGAGTAGGTATCGGAACCCTTCGGTGCTCGCCTTTGGTTGTCACATCTGTCCCAGATCCACTCACCTGGTGGGCAATCCTTTCCCACCAACCTGGGGTTCCTCCTGGGCACTGAACTGTCCTTCTCGCCAGGAGGCTGAGGCCCTCTTCTGTCCACTCGGGTGCCTGTTTTCTCTATTCTGTTCGCGTTTTCCAGCCAATCATCCATTTGTTCCTCAGTTTCTTCTATGGAAGTTCCATGATCTTGGGACCAGCAGGTAGCGTAATGGTTATGTTGCTGGACTCCCATTTAGTCGACCACAGTTCGAGTCCCGGATCCGGTGGCTTAGAATTCATGCTGGGCGTGTGTGTGCGTGTGAGTGTGTGTCCAAAGAAGAATGGAGGAGAAGGGATTGCGGCGTGGCCATCCCTTTGGGGGGTGATTTCTCTCTGTCTGTCTCTCTCTATCTCTCTAGCGAGCACCACACCCTACAGCAAAAGTCTCTCTAAGAAAAAAATTAAAAGAAGGCCCGTGATCGTAAGACTGAGTATACGTACTCTCTAAAGGCATGTATGCAGGAAATTCGGATTTGGGTTTTTAACTGTTAACTTTCTTCCGTTTCTGAAGTGTTTCAAGGCCAGTCCTGGCCAACGCTCTGTGCTGTGTGTGAAATTGCCCGGCATGCTGGGTCAGGCCAGACAATGCTCCCAGTGTGAGAGGCCGGGTTCCCAGCTTGCACGGAAGCAAATCATGCCATCGTGGTGTCACGGCCAGACGGCCGCTCTTCTCTGGAGCATCAAGTTTGGATCCATCCATACTCTTGCCTCCTGCCTTGTTTTGTTTTTGTTTTTCCTTTTCTCTCCTTTTTCTCCCGAGCAGTTCACCCAGTTGCCTTTCCAGGCAGACTGAGCAGCTGCAGTGTGACGCTCACTGGGAGAACACGAGCAGGCGTGCCAGCTCCGCACGCTCGGCACTCCCCGCCCAGCAGAGTGCCGCTGGAGCCAGCCTGGGCTCCTCTGGTCAGAGTGTCGCTAGGCCTCTGCCGGCCATCACCCTCTGCAACTCCATAACCGGCCACCGCTGCTCCGGCCTGAGTGTCTGCGTTTTCACCTTCATTCTTGCCTGGATGTAAAGTTGGTGAAACGTTACAATAAGCTTTTCTCATGTCTGCAGAACCGGCGTCCTGCACGGTCTATTTCTGTTTCTTAACCTACCTCCTCTCCCTTTTTAAAGAACTATTTATTTAATTTTATTTAGTATTACTTTTAAATTTTCTATAGGGCACATGTGCTCACCAGAGGGAGACAGAGAGAGAGAAAGTGAGAAAGCAAGCCACCAGGTCTGGGACTCAAACCATAGTCGGCCATGTGGGAGTCCAGTGCCCTAACCACGACACCAGTTGCTGGTCCTCCCCTCTTTTTTTTTAATTTTTTTTTTTTTTTAAAGAAAAGGTTTTTTGCCACAGGGTACATGAACTTGCCAGAGAGAACGTGAGAGGGAAAGTGAGAAATCACCCTGGGAGGACGGCCATACCAGTCGCTTCTCCATTCTCGTCTCTGGATTTTGGGCACACACGCACACTTGCCTGGTATGATTTTCAAGCCACTGGGTCTGGGACTTGCATAGCAGTCTGCCGTGTGGGAGTCCAGCGCCTTGACCACCACACCGCCTGCTGACCCCACCTTGCCTTTTTTAAATTGCTGAAGGGTGTGTGCACGTGTCAGAGAGGGAGAGAGAGAGAGGGAAAAGGCGCCTCCCGAGGGGGCATGGCCGCATTTCCGCGTGCTGTTGGGATTTCAGGTGTTCGTGCACACGCAGCCCAGGTTTGAACTCCGCGGTTGACCCTGTGGGATCTGGCTGTCTTAACCACTAAGCTAGGGGCTGGCCCTCTCCCTCCCCTTCTTGAAAACAAATGGTAGCATACTCTACACACTGTTCTCGGTCCTGTCTGTCTCCTTCACTTTAAAATGGATGTCAAAGTCCGGCAGGTGGAGTGGTGGGTAAAAGTGCCGGACTCCCACATGGCCGACCACGGTTTGAGTCCTGGACCTGGCAGTTTGCTTTCTTGCTTTCCCTTCCTCTCTCTCTCTGGTCAAATTAAAAATAATAACAACAATAACAAACGGAATGAAATAAATTCTTTTTAAAATGCTTGCAGAGCATTTTAAAAAGTGGAGTTTATAGAGCGCATAGAATTTCCTCCTCCTTGTTCTGCACGGTCCTTCCACCCTGCAGTGTGGTCGTGGCTGTTCCATGAGAGCCAGGACGAGTCCCCACCTGGAGAAGCCGGCTGCCGCTCTCGCTCGGCCCGGTCTGTGGACCACGCGCTTTCACTCTGCACCTGGGCCATGCTCCTGTGACACCAGGAACACACGCCCTGCGCAGCGTGGCCGCACCAGCTCTTCCTAGAGAGGCCTGGCCTGGGCCAGCTGCTGCGGTAACCTGTAACATAGGGCTCCACGGTGCCGAAGCCACTCGGGAAGATCTCAGGCTCACACCCAAGATCTTCCCTTCCATGATGGGCACCGTGGTGCCCAGGGTCCTCGCTGACTGAGGCGCGACAGGGTCACGGGCAAGGACACTGCTGGGGCAGCTGGTCTCTCTGTCATGGAAGAAATCAATAAGCAGGCCTATAGGAAAGGGTACAGTCTCAGGCCCAGCAGGGGTCGTGGCGGTTACATGTAGCCGACTGCAGTTCAAATCCTGGACCCGGTGGTCTGAAACTCACGCAGGGGATATCCTGGGAGGAGAACGGAGAAGGGATTGTGGTGTGGCCATCCTCCCGGGGGTGGAGGATTTCCGAGTTTCTCTCTCCAGTGAGTGCCCTAGAGCAAAAACCTCACTCCATAAATAAATAGGGACGCGATCTCACCTTTTCGGGGAGATTTGGGGTACAGACACACACGTGTGGCATGATTTTCAAGCTGCAGGCTGTGGGACTTAAGCATGGCTGGCCACGTGGGAGTCCAGCTCCTTGCCCACCACGCCACCTGCCGGCCGCAGCCTCACTCCTGTTAAGCTCTCACACGTGCCAAGCACCATGAGTGAGGCCTGTGAGGCAGGTGTGGGCTCGTCCCTCCTCCCCGCTCAATGGCGCCTCAGGTCGCAGGGACCTGTTTCTCAGGGAAAGCGCCCTGTGGGTAGACCCGGGCACCTGCATTTGTCCATGCCCTTGCAGTCAGCTGAAAGGAGCAGCCATCCGTCAGAGAGGGTGTGAGCCAATGGCATCCGAACTCAATGCGGCTCACTCACCGCCAGGTGACAGGAGAGGGCTGGAGCGGCCGGCCTGGGGAGTGAGCGGGAGGCCCGGGCCCAGCCTGGTCTTGGAGGTACCTGTTCGGTGCCGTCCACTTCATAAACACGACGGAGTGACCGTCCTTGTTCTGGGGTTGGTTTTAGCTGGGGCAAGAGCTCTGATACTCAGCAGGCCCTGTCTTCCTCTTGCTGTCCCCGGGGCTGACTTCAAACTTCGTGCGACTTACTGGCTCCTGGGCGCCTTCTGTTTATTTTTTTGTTTTTTAGAATAGGAATAATGAAAATAAAATGGGAACAACAAAAACCGTCCCTGGTACAGGCTATGTGCGCCTGTGTGAGAGGGACAAGTACCCCAGGCCTGGTCGGGCTGCGACCTCCAGCCCTCCAGTTCTGCACCCTGGCAGGTCCGGGACACGGGCGTGCCTGGTTTGCCTCAGTCTGGCAGGCTGGGGATTTGAACCGCGGACACCATGCAGGGTCTGGCTTCCCTTCAGCAGGGTGTCACCATGGCGCCAGAGCCAGCCCCTCACTAAAAATCAGAAAGTCCTCTTTGGGACAGGAGAGTTGGCGACCCCGCGTTGTCCTTTAGCTCCCAGGCCCTTTATCTGCCACCCCCAGGGCTCGCTCCTGCACGGGGGTGGAGCCTTGGGAGCATGGGCCCGTCCTGGGCGAGCCGGTGGTGGCGCTGGGAAGCCGGGCGCAGGCACGGGGGTGTGTCCCTCTGCTCCTGCCCTAGGTCCTGGCCTGGCCTTCATCGCCTATCCCCGGGCTGTGGTGATGCTGCCCTTCTCGCCGCTCTGGGCCTGCTGCTTCTTCTTCATGGTCGTTCTCCTGGGACTGGATAGCCAGGTACGAGAGGCACCGCGCAGCGGGAGGGACCAAGGGTGGGCGGCCGGGAGGGGCAGTGGGGCATGAGCTGCAGCTCCGTCCCAGGGGCCCCGCGTAGCTGGGGGCTGGCCGGGTGTGGACATGGGTGCCCTTCCGGGGACCAAAGGTGTGTGCAGGTGTGTGGGGACAGACCTAACGGGGAAGCGGCTCCAGGGACCGGAAGCTGGCAGGGCTGGCCTGGGCAAGGCGCCGGAGCACTGCAGGGCCGCTCTGGGTGCCTCTGCCTCCAACCCCTACCTCTCACGCAGTTTGTGTGCGTAGAAAGCCTGGTGACGGCGCTGGTGGACATGTACCCCCGTGTGTTCCGCAAGAAGAACCGGAGGGAGGTCCTCATCCTCGGGGTGTCGGTCGTCTCCTTCCTGGTCGGACTGGTCATGCTCACGGAGGTGAGGGCGGGCAGACGGCAGTGCCCTGCGGCTCACAGGGCCGGCCTCTGGGCTCCAGGGCCTGTGGGCCCCCTCTCCTCCCCACCGTGGAAAGGACAGAGTAGGCAGGTCCCTCGGCTTTGGACAGTGGCTACTCCGGGGATGAGTATGCGGACACAAAAAGGGCGGCTAGGAACTGCTCTCGGCAGGAGCGCCGGACTCCCGGGCAGCCCAGCCCGGTTCTACGCGGACCTCAAAGGCAGAGGGACCCTGGGGATGGCTGACATCCGTATGACGTCTCAAGGGACAAGGAAGGAGATGGAGCTTGCAGCTTGACAGCACCTACTAGGCATCCCACCTGTCTTCCATTTTAAAGCATGATTAACAGACGGCGATTGTGGGGCCAGCTGCCGGTGCGGTGGCTAAGTGGGTCCTGCAGGCCAGCCGTGTGGTTTGAATCTGGGACCTGGCAGCCTGAAGACTCTGGTTGTGGGTGTGCGCGCACCCAACATCCCGACAGGAGGGTGGAGGGGGAGGATTTCCGCATGGCCATCCCCTCGGGGGTGATTGCTCATTTTCCCGTTCTCTCTTTCTCTGGCAAGCACACGCGCCCTATAGCAAAAACTAAATAAAGATGAAAATAAGAAGTGAGGGTTACTCCACAGCTGCCCGGCGTCCTGCTGCACGTCAGGGCCACCCCTCTTACCTGCCCTGTGGGCCTCGCCGTGCCTGTGCGGGCCGCGCGCCCTGCCACCGTCTGAACCTCCCCTCCCGCAGGGCGGCATGTACGTGTTCCAGCTCTTCGACTACTACGCGGCCAGCGGCATGTGCCTGCTCTTCGTGGCCATCTTTGAGTCCCTCTGCGTGGCGTGGGTTTACGGTGAGTGACTCCTTTCTGAGGGCCCTTGGACAAAAACAGACATCTGCACATTACACCCACCTGTTCCTGGGACGCCCCTCTGCCCAGCCTCAAAAATATCAAGACTTCGAAGGCCAGCAGGTGGCACAGTGGTTAAGGTGCTGGACTCCCACATGGTAGACTGCGGTTCGAGTCCTGGACCCGGCAGCTTGAAAATCACATTGGGTACATGTATGTGTGTGCCTGAAATCCCGAGAGGAGAATGGAGGAGAAGGGATTGTGGCATGGCCATCCCCCCTGGGGGTGACTTCGCACTTTTCCTCTCTCTGTCTCTCTGGCGAGGGCATATGCCCTATGGCAAAAACCTAAAAAACAAAATGAAACAAAAAACTCAAGGATTTGGAATTACCATGTGGAAGGGCCCTCCAGAAGTGGCCGGACACCTCAGGCAGGTCCGTGTCCTGTCCTAACGTCACCTCGTCAGCTTTTAACAGCCTCCAGGACGCCATTGCTGCCTGGGCTTCTATGCCCATCTCAGCAGTGACCAGAAAACACAGGCAGGACGTCCTCTGCCTGTCGGTCTTTGCTCGCCTCATCTGCGGGCCCTTCCCCTGACGTCTGGGTGCTAAGGGATGTCCTCCCCCTCCTTCTGTCCCCCACGCTAGGAGCCAGACGCTTCTATGACAACATCGAGGACATGATCGGGTACAGGCCGTGGCCTCTCATCAAGTACTGTTGGCTCTTCCTCACGCCAGCCGTGTGCACAGTAAGATGTCCGCCCACGCCGGGGCCAGCCCGGGGAGTGGGGCGGGCAGCAGGTGGGGCGGCTCTTAGCCCCCGGCCTTCTCTCCAGGAAGTGAAAGGCATCGTGAGTTTAATTTCTCCTCCTGGTGGACTCAGAGCTGTAATGGGCCAGCCGTGGTGGTCACAGTGGCTGGATCCCACATGGCCGACTGGGCAGTTCGAGTTTCAGAGCTGGCAGCTTGAAAAACACACCAGGCGCATGTGTACGCGTGCCCAAAATGCCAAGAGGAGACTGGCGAAGGGGTTCTGGTCCTGGGGGGTGGTTTCTCACTCCCTCCCTCCCTCCCTCCCTACAGCACACTCACCTGTAACAGTAAACGCCTCCCTAAAAACAGAAAGAGAAAGCTAGCAAGACAAAGTCTTCCTTTCCTTTTCACAGAAAGACAAACTGAGGGCCAGAGCCGTCAGACGGTCTGACCAACCCCACAGTGAGCCCAGTGCCCCGAGCAGGGCCGACCCCAAGTGCTCCGGGCCGCTCATCCACGCTAGCCGCAGTCACAGGGCACTCCTGGGCCGGGCACACGGGGCTCCACACGCAATCCCTCCTTTGCTGCTCACCGACCCTGTAAGGTGGCTCGGGCCACTCTGCGGCCGGACCTGCCCAGGCTAGAGGTGTGGGGGTTGGGCATCCGAGCCGGCAGTCTGGGGCCAGAGCGGAACCTTGGGCCACGATGTGCTGTCCCCTCTGACTTCCCCAGCCCCACGGCGTGCAGGCCATAAGTGAGGACCAGGGAGAGGGAGACATGGGCCCCACCCGAGGGCCTCGCAGCCCAGACTCATGGAGCAGGACACGCATGCACCTCAGCACCCGGCAGGCATGCGGTCATGCCATCTCCAGGAGCTAACCATGAGCAGAGGGGCCCTGGGTGCAGGGGCCCCGGGAATACCTGCGGGGCATGATTTGGGGCATGGTGTAGGCAGAGACTGGAGCCAACCGGCCCGGATGAGCCCTGGAGGTGCTCTCTACCAGGTCCTCGCGGTGGGGCGCGGAGGGCTCAGGGCCCGCCCCCACTCCTCCCTCTCCCCCTGTCACCCAGGCCACCTTCCTCTTCTCCCTGGTCAAGTACACGCCGCTGACCTACAACAAGAAGTACACGTACCCGTGGTGGGGCGACGCGCTGGGCTGGCTGCTGGCCCTGTCCTCCATGGTCTGCGTTCCAGCCTGGAGCATTTACAGACTCAGCACCCTCAAAGGCGCCCTCCGGGAGGTAGCCAGAGGGTGGCCAGTGGGAGGGCGCTCCCTGGGCGGGGAGGATCCGATGACAGGAGAGTCACCTTCCTGGGACAAGCTGGTGCGGGCAGGCTCAGTGGTGGCTGTGGCTTCAGAAAGGGGCAGAGTGAGTGCTCAGAAGTCAGAAAGAAGCTAGAGAACTCCAAGACGCGTCCGTGATGGCGGGTGTCCTCCGTGTGCCAGCCACCTCCGCTCCCCTTGCAGAGGATCCGCCACCTTGTGTGCCCCGCTGAGGACCTGCCCCAGAGGAACCGAGGAGGACACCCCGCTCCTGCCACACCCAAGACGTCACTTCTGGGACTCACAGAGCTGGAGCCTC